GGGTTTAAAAGTTTTAAGAGTTTAAGAGTTTTTAAGAGTTTTAGCCAAATGCATTATAATATAGTATAGATAAAAGGATATATTTTTCATTTCTTAATACAGGCCGAATGTTCGGTAAACAATATTTTCTAGCTTGGTGTTTTTATCGCAGTCCAACACTTATTCAAATCTCATCAAAGGTGAGGATATGGTGTTGCTTTCTGACTCGGTTAGCGTTTACCCAAACACTTGGTAAACAACCATTTTCAGTTAGCGTTTACCAATACCGAACCAGCACTCTTACTCGGTTAACGTTTACCTAATTTATGTCGGTAAACGACGCCTCAGCGTACTTCAGAAATTTGACTAATGGAATAGAGGTCGTGTGAGCTAGAAGATGTTGGATCAGTTAGAGTCTCTGGTCCTTCAGAGTCCTGGGAATGCATCACTTCGAACTTGCTTGCGAATGCTTGAAACCTGAACTCATCATCATCATATGTATTGTTGGGTTCCCGGATTTTGGTACAACCCTCGAGCATATTCACAACTTCAGACATTGAAGGCCGAAGATCCGGGGACTGATTAGTGCATAATAGAGCAATTTTTATCATTCCCACTGCCTCTTTTTTGTTGAAATCGGACCCCAATCTTGGATCCACCAAATCTATCAAGCTACCCTTTTGTTCCAACACAATAGCCTTAAAGAGGACAAACATAAAGATATAATAAGACACTGATATTTATGGGAAGAAATGAGCAAATTGTAGTCATTACCCAATCAAGAAGACAAAAACAATCTTCGCTTGGCCGAAATTTCATATTATTCTTTCCAGCTACAATTTCTAGTGCAAGAACCCCGAAACTGTATACATCTGCTTTGTACGTTAATAAGCCCCATAGCGCATATTCCGGTGCCATGTACCCTCTAAAGAACCAAAACCAAACCAAACAAATTCAGTATATTTCACATAGAGGTCGGGTCTAGGGAGGGTAGGATGTACCCAAACCTTGCCTCTATCCCAAGGGTAGAGCGGCTGTTTCCATGAAGACCCTCATGTTGTAAATTAAAACTAAACAGGAAACATAGCAGAATGTCAAGAAAGTGGGAAGTAGTCAAATTGTATATTACTAAAAAGAAAGAAAAGAATGATGTCTTACAAGGTTCCAGCAACTTTGGTGACAATGTGGGTGTGCTCTTCATCAAGCTTGGCCAAACCGAAGTCTGAGATTTTCGGAGTAAGATTGGTGTCGAGCAGTATGTTTGTAGCCTTGATATCCCTATGAACCATTCTTAGCACCGATTCCTCGTGCAGGAATGCCAACCCTTTTGCAATGCCGATACAAATTCTTTGCCTTGTAGACCAATTGATTTCCATCTTAGACTTATCCTGTTCTAATATTTTATAAAAATATCTTCATCAAGAAAGGTAAATGAAAAGATATAATCACTTTGTCCGTTGGAACTGTAAAAATTTTCATTTTGGTATGTCCCATGTAGAGATGGAAAAGAAAACCTGTCCTTTCAGTCCAGACCGTGATATCATCAGGCCGGACCAGACCAGACCAGACCATTGGTCGTTAATCGGTCCAGGACCAAACGAACAGATAAGACCAAACAGACCAGATTAAGTCCATACAGGATCAGATCAGACCTCTCCAGACCAACGAACCTAAATTGATGATTACCCTCCTAGACTTGAATTGGTCTGGAGCAGACCTGGCTTACTAAAGAAAAAGTGAAAGAATAGGAGAATACCGAATAGAGCATGTGCAAGAGAATTATTCTCCATGTACTCGTAAAGTAGCAGTAGGTGGTCACCTTCCACACAACACCCGTGTAGCCTTACAATATTTGGGTGCCGAATACCAGCTATCATGCCAATTTCATTCACAAACTCACGATTTCCTTGCCTTGATGTTGAAGACAATTGCTTAACAGCGACTAGAGTACCGTCTAAGAGTGTACCCTACAATAAGGTTATTAGAAGAAATATCTATTAGATGTTCAGTAAACCGCAGACCTGACCTCAACCTCACTAACTCCCTTCTTCCTACACTCACTCTATTATTGGAGGCGGACCTAGGAATTTTTTCAAGTGGTGGCACCATTTGACTATAAGAAACAAAAATATCGATATTTTTCATAAAATCATCACCAGTCTTTTGGTTATCTTTTGGTTAGTTCTTTGCTTTTTGTATATGAGATCCTGTGTTCAAGTCTTTTAATGCAAATTTCTTCGTAAACATAATAAACACTGAAGTTAAAAGTTGAAGACTCAGAAAATGACAAAAATTAGTAAACATAATAAACACTGAAGTTAAAAGTTGAAGACTCAGAAAATGACAAAAATTAGAATCGAACCCGTGCCTGGGGTGGAAGAAAAGCCATGCAACCAACTCCACGAAGGGAAACTTGTGTCATTATTGTAGGCGCAAAATATATACGGTTGCACACAACAAAATGATGCGGTGGCACCTTTCACGACTCTGTAATTTTTTACAATACAACGGAGGAACAAAACGGTGATAGAGTGGATCCGCCCGTCTATTACCCTAGCCTTACGTCTCCAATAACTCCTATCTGAAGTCATGTTACTAAATGCCAACAAAAAATGATAAAATTTTCTTCTTATCTTTAGTCTTTTCCTCTTTATCTTCTTTTAATTGGAAGGAATTACAGGCGAAAATTTGCAGATCTCAGGTTATGAACTGCAAATAAAAAATGATAAACTTTCAATATTACCTTGTAGACGGATCCAAAACCGCCCTCCCCAAGTTTATTCAAAGCAGAAAAGTTATCTGTAGCTGCTCTGATTTGTCTATACGTAAATACACCGGTCTGCAAATCCAATCCTCTAAGTTCTGCATGGAAATGATATATCGTCAATGAATAAATGCCATCTCACAAACCACAAAACTATCCAGAACACTAATTTGTCCATCAGACCGAATACCTTTTCTGAGGGTGGTTACTGTTGGTGTAACTGTGATTTACTTGAGATTGATTAAAGTAATAAGGCAAACATAAGTAAGTTAGGAGGTGCGGAGTGCACACTCACAAATGTTGCACCTATCACCTTAAATCGCTATAAGGCGAGGGTCAAGAGGGCTGCGCCCCCTTGCGGGGTTCCAAGGGACAGAGCCCTTGTCGGTTAATGGATTTCAAGAAGAGTAAGACTTAGGGAATTCTAGTTTCAGGATGATCCGGACGAATTTCAGAAGGATAGAAACCTTCTTGGAATAGTTCCCAAAGTTGGTAGAAAATTGACCAAGTCTAAAATATGATCTGTGCGGTCAGACTTAAGGTCTGTGCAACCAGAGTTGGTCTGTGCAATCAGACTTAGACTTAGTACAATCAAAGTTCGGATACAGTTATAACTGTTCTCTAATCTTATCCATTAATGGTTATAACCGCTCTTAACCACCTATAATAACCACCTATAACTGGGTATATATAAGGTCTCGGTCTCACGGCCTTTGAGATAAGAGTTTCTCTTGGATTATCCCAATACGAAATTCGTTTACCCAAGGCGATAAGGGACGAATTATTGTATTTGGACAGTGAATTATTCACGTTCCAACGAGATTATCTAGTCACCAATCATCTCCAAATCCCTATATCTAACAGTTACAATATGTCAAAAAACTTATATCAAACACCTTTTTCCCTTGATATTTGGTCTCCCATATAGCCTCCCTGCCATGCAATACCAAGAACTATCAGGATGAGACACAACGTTGTAACCACTGTTCCAATGACGATGAATATCTTCATTTTGCTGTTTGGAGGCTTGAAATCTACAGAACAATGAAGTCTTAATATGCCACTTATAGATTTTCAAGTCAGCAGGAAAACAGAAATCACAAAGACAATAATAAATGTTAAGAGTGACCAATACGCATACCAGACTCCATAGAAATGGCAGATACCATAGGACCATACACTCCTCTATGTGGGACTGCCGTTGTACCTTTCCCAGCATACTGGAATCGAATTTCTAATGTGTTATTAGTTACAGCCACGTTATTTATTGTTTTGTTTACTGCCTTATTCACCCCTCCTGCTTCACTCTTAATATCAAAATTCTTGAATTTATTTTCACCCTGCAAGAAGGTAAAAAAGTAAAACCCAATCAAACACAAGTCTAGCTGGAACTGCTTCATTCTTCAAAGTTTACAAAATGTTTGTATCTTTAAGTTTGGAGGTCAAATGGCAAGTTTTTCACAAATAAAGTGACGGATTTTGTAATTTGTTCCAAATATATCAATTATGCATATGAAAAATAGTCTGCTTGTTTATACTAAAAAGGGTCGTAAAAATGTGAAAGTTTGATAAATAATCAACCTGGACATAAATATCAAAAGCGCGTACTCCAAGACTCTGGTAAGATTCATTAGCTGTGAAAAATATCTCTGCAAAATGTAGAGTCACCGTATAGTTTCCATTTGCAAGGCAACGCCCGTAGTAAGTGAGAGACAGTGGAGAAAGACGAGCCGTTGTGTAAAGTTCAGAGCCATTAGTAACTACAGATACATTACTTGCAATATATTCGTCAGAAGTACCCTTGACATTGTATAAACTTCCTGTGCTACTAGTTCCCCAAAGTTTGATTAAAGGAACAAATTTTGCAGCTCCACCTGGTTCTTGATCTGCTTCATAGAACTTGTTTCCAACAGTAGCTCCTGGCCCACCACAATTGATATGAACTGATTGGTGCTCTAGAAACAAGAAAATAGAAACATAAAATGGGTGAGTTTTGATTTTTCTTTTCAAAATGGATTTGCAACATCACAAGAAAGCATGCTACTCACTGTTGGAGCAAGGAAATATGCCAAGGCACTTCGCAAGGTCTCTGCATCAACAAACACGGGAAACTTGGTGCCTATCTCATTAAATAAAAGCTCCATTAATAAAGAACATAAGTAGAGTATAAGCTTACAAGTTCTTCCCACCAGAGTAGCTTCTGAATAAGTTCCTAATAAATGAAAGAGCTCGTAAAATTTGACTTCAAGTTGTATGATCCAAACCAAACCAAACCAAACCAAACTAAACACCCCCGTATGTCCTATTCAAAAGTAAGATGTACGTAGACCTGACATCTACCCAAAAGAGTAGAGCGACTATTTCCATGAAGTCCCTTGGCTTGCAAAAAAGTTTGCAAAAGGTGAAGCACCAAGTGTTTCATAAGTTTGTCAAAACAAGAAACTGAAAAGTAGGGAGGAACTTGAGACCAAAAGGTAAATTATAAAGAGCTTTGAAAAGAACAACCAAGACTAGAAAACAATAAAAAAAGGTTAAACAAGTACAAAAAGCACAAGAACTTATAAAAACAGTACAACAAAATAAGCATCCCTCTATTTATGAGAACAACTAAAGAGCATTTGAAAGCTGAAAACTTACAGTGAATCATGACATTTTTGCGGGACAGTATTTTCACTAAAGTTGTTGTAGGAAAGATCTACTTTCCTGCATTATCAGCACTTTTAAATTACTAAAAGCACATCCTTTATGAAAAGAAAATATAAACCAACTTAAATATTTACAGGTTAAATATATAGCAAGTATACTGAGAACATTTTGAGCATCAAGAGCCCATATATCATACAAAAGTAATACTGAAATCGCTTGAAATCTTACTGTTTATAATCTTCTTTAAGCCAATCAGGAACACTACCAGAGAAGGAGTTGCCAGTGAGATACCTAAACGTTTCACCAAATAATCTTGTGATGATTTACAATGATATCCTTCCATTTTACTTTTTTTTGTTTCTCGTTTATTTATTTCGCTTTCTATGTAAAGAATAATATGAGCATATGATCTTTTTACGTTGAAAGATACTTGAGAGTGGAATATGGTGCAAAATCAGACAGATAATCAAGAAACTGATAAGTTATAAATTTAGTTGAAACAAATTTTATAGGGGCATTGAAGTAAATGTGTATGTTACATTCTTTCCAGAGGTAGTTCTTGTAGATCTGGTATACGACCTTCCAGATTGTTGAAACTGAGATCTCTGCATTTGTTTACGAATATAGATACAGAGAAGTTTTAACATGATTATAATCTAGAAAGATTAAAGATGATGCTAACAGGAATAGTCTTAAAACATATTTCGAATAAGAAATGAATGAGGGAGAACAATTACAGATGCGCCAATTGCGACATTCGTGAAACATAAGCAGGAATAGTCCCGGATATGTTACAGCTTCTCAACATCCTGCAATATCCACCAGAACCAATATTGAAACCTAAAGAACTTGTTAATGGATTTTAAACCATACAATGACTTACAACTTTTTCATGCTTGTCATGTTAATTAGATTTGGAAATTGCGAACCCTCTCCAAATAAATCACTGATTGCTCTGCACACATATCATATTCAGACTTATTGCATGGATAAAGACACAAACGAAAATCCTGAGATGATAAATGTAACTTACAGTTCTGTCAACTTGCTCAAGAGGGAAATGCTTGGAGGTATTGGCCCTTCAAGACCACTACCTTGAATCTCTCTGATGATAGAAGATATAATTAATGCAGGAAGCACAAAGTGTTGGCGAATGATATAATATCTCAAACACGCACTATGGTACCAATAGCAAACAACTAGTGCAAACCTTAACAACAACGCAGGATACACAAGGATCTCAAAGGTGTGTTCAACATATGCTAAGAACGGGACTAAGTACAATCCACAACATGCAATGAAGAACTAAAATGAAAGCAATAAACAATACAAGGATATAACGTGGTTCCACTACCTATGTGGTAGTGTACTTCCACAGGGCAGAGATTGTGATTCGTGTATATAAATCTAAAAAGGTTACAGAAGAGTTTACCTATTACAAGAATCAATCACTTGTTTTACTTGACAATATGTAAGCTCTAAGAACTCTCTATTCTCTCTTGTATTAATGAGGAGGGAACAACCAAAGTCTAGATCATAAATGGAACCCTAGACGAATTTAGCGCGCCTGATTTCGCTTTCACAACTTGAAACACGACCTTGCATTATGTGGGAATTAGCCCGCTTCCTGATTTATGTCAAATGCGATCCATAAACGAAGGTTGCACACAAATGTCAACATCGTATAAATTGTACCCAAGGTCTAGGCCTGTGTCACACACCAAGGGTCGCTTCTGCCAAAAATCAATGTCACCAATTATGTACTGTAGCTCCTCTCCTGATTCTTCTGTGCGACTATGCTCCTTCAACCGTGGCTTGAGAGCCAAGGTCGCATACAATAGCATTAGAGTTATGGTATCACACATAAATCAAAACATAAAGACAGGGATACAAGGGGTTGGGAAATGTCGTTGAACACCTCTCCATGAGCTATAGTTAAAAAACTTTATATCCTTGTATTCATCGCCATAATCGTATCTAAGCACCTCCGGTCTCCGCCACGTTTGATTCTCAAGAAGCGCCAACCAAACTTTTAATTGTTGAAAAGATTCTAACTTGTTCTTCATGATGTACACCCACACTTTCCTGGAATAGTCTTCGATAAAGGAGATAAAAATAGTGACCACTATCGAGAGAAGAAATAGATCCCCCCCCACCCACACACACATTTGTGTGCACGTAATCAAGTGAACCCTTGGATGTATGCTTTCCAGTACCAAAGGACACAGACATTTGTTTGTCTTCCACACAATCAGAACAAAATTGAATATCATTAAGCTCTTAGTTATGATCAATTTATTATGAAGAAATTTAAGGTTCTTATCCAAAGTATGAACGATGCATAGATGCCATAAAAATGGTATTTAAATTTTTCAAGCTATCGACTCTCATTCAAGCTTCCTCAATCACTCTCTGACATGTCATAATGCACAAGTTGTTCATCCCCGACTTTCCCTTCATGATCACCATGTTACCCTTGGAAATCCTCTTTATTATCCAGAAACATGGCCTTGCAACTATGCTTCGTAAATTGCCCAACCAAAAGGAGATACCCTGTCATTATGGGAGTGTACTCACTCCAATAATCATGCGAGTCGTCCCATCGAACATCTTCAAATTAATTGTACCAATACCAATTACCTTACATCCCCCGTTGTTCCTCATCAATATGTTGCTACCTTCTCATGCCTTAATTTTCAAAGGTTGAGAAATAGTGGCTATCGGGTTTTATATGAAATGATGCACCTGAATTCAAACACCCGCCAATCATCATCCTAATGTGAACTCTCGCTTGCACATAAAGCATTGTCACTAGTCGCAACCGATTAAGCACTATCATTGCTTTCCTTCTTTTTAATCCTTTGACAATCTTACCCCAATGGCCTGGGTGCTTATGATAGTTTTAACTCCCCCTCTTCTTCGACTTACTTCTCACATATGGCTTTCTCGAAGCAGAACAACCAAGAGACTTCTCCCTCCTTTTTGCATCAGTTGAACCTCTTTGCATCAGTTGAACCTCTTTTCCTAAATAAACATTGACTACTACCGTCACTTGTACTATCACCAAACACCTTCTGCTTCCTGAGATCATAATATGTGGTATCCTCATTTTCACTATAAAGAACATCTTCATCAATATCAACTGATTGGTAAGTGACTTATGTTGTGATATTTTTATATCACTTTGATGGATGTTGCACAAAAGAAAACAAGGAAGAAACCGCAGACAAAGTCTCCCGCAACCAGCGTCGTGGTTTGGGCCGCGCCCTAAGTCTCCCGCTCCTCTGTGTCGTGTCCTGCACCTTCTCCCGAGATCAGCCTTGTGTTCCATTAGCTCCTGCGACTAGCCCCACGACCTAGGTCGTGGGCTAGGGGGGTGTTTGGGATTGCTTATTTGAAACAACTTATACTTTTCTGCAAAAGCACTTATCAACTGATTATAAGTCAGGAGGGTTTAACTTCTTCAAAAACTCCTTATTACCGGTTTGTCACTGGTATAAGTTGTTTATCCAAACACTCAAAAGTGCTTATTACTGTTGCCACATCGGAATAAGTCAATAAGTTGTTTTATAAGCAATCCCAAACACCCTCTAGGTCACCCATGTTTCTTTTGGCTGGCAATAGATTGGTGTTCAGCCCATGCTTTTTGTCCCTTATCCACCTTTTTTTCCTTTTTGTCTTTCTTTTTTACAGAAGAAGACTTTTGGCCCTCTTTACACTTTTATCCATTATTTTGCTTCCAAAACACTCTACGCCACTTCTACTCTCTCTAGAATTTCCATTCATAGTACATGTGAGTTTGAAAGAGTGTTCTATGTGTTCTTGAAGAATGTTCGTTGATCTAGGATCCTGGAACCACGTTAAATCCTCGTGTTATTTGGTTCTGACTTGTTTATATGCTTAGATCTTGCCTATTTAGTAGTTATTTACCCAATACTATCACTTTGTTGCTATGAAGTTTTACAACCTCTAGATCATTGTTATAAGTGTGGACCATATAAATCGTTTGCTTTTTGTTATATTTGGCACGTACGACCTTATAACTTTATCTAATAAAGCTCTTTGAGTGTTGCCCAAATAGCCTGTGTTGTATACTTATTGCTCACTTTCGAGATGATATCCTCACCCATAGCTAATTGAAGTGTAGTTAAATCCTATTCCTTCATCTCATATAATGTTTCACTAGAAATGTAGGGTCAAGCTCATGTAATGAGGGTCGAGTATAGGAAAGAGGATGAATATTAAAGTATTGAGCAACTACTATGATTTTATCATGTGAATGGTTGTTTTGACACAAGAGTATCGTAGGAGTATGATGATCATAATGTTCGCTATTAAATAAAAATGGTTTAGATATTGTATAGGTACAATAATAATCAGGGCCACCCCTGGGGAGGGCGGGTGGGGCATATGCCCAAGGCCCAAAAGAAATAGTGGTCCTAATTTTTTTAGTATACAATAGTAGTCAAAAAAATTAGTAAACAAAAGAGATACAAATCTTTTTAGTATCTAATAGGTCGCAAAAAGAATTTCATATTATATTAAGGACCCAAACATATATATATATATATATATATATATATTAATTACACTGGAAAAGAAAATATGTAAAAAGTTAATTGGTCATTCATTTTATAATATTGCTTATTGTTTCTCTAAGTTTTTTATCTAGTACTGAAGTCTAAAACCATTTGCCCAAAAATTCTTGATATATTCTACATCATTCATCTCCCACTGACTCTTTTAATTATTCTATCTGCATGAATTCTATTTTTGTATTAGAATATAATAGATTTCTTGTTATTAACAAAGAAAACTCTTACCTTTTGAAAAATATTACCAACCATATGAGAGGGTCTAACTTATATTTATATTTAAGATTTCAAAACTACCCTTATTTTTTCATAGAATATTAACTCCTTATTACCTAATATTGAGTGCATGAATCTTAAGTACTCTCTTATTTGTAAAACAAGAATAAGATCTCAAGCTATAATCAACATGGGCTTTTGATTCTAAGATTGATGGTTCCAAGAAAGTTTGTTTTAATCCTGAAAGTTTAAAACGGTGATGAAAAACATAACTTGAGGTGAGATAGAAACCAACTGATTTATATTAATTTACATAGAGCTTACTCCGAATGGTCTACATTGTGACCCTAAATGATGTCAATCTATATATTTAAGGTATATATCATATGATGTTTTTGACGGTGAAACGAATTGACGATGCTTTGTAAAAATGATATGGTAGATGATATTAATTAGAAATAATTATTGATTAATTTTGCTTTTAGGAATACTCGGAAAACGGTCTTATGATTTATTAGTATTTCTTGAATTAAATGTTATTTATAATGATAAAAACGATATGTTAAAGATTTTTTTCATACTTATCGAGGGCCCTCTTTTACATCTCGCCGAGGGCCTATAAAATGTCAAAAACGGGCCTGACAATAATGCTTACTAGTTTACTTTCCATTGGAGAAGGCAATGGAGACATGACTACAAGGTGTACCACCTAAGAGATGAAGGCAAATACCACTATGCTATATGCTTAATGCCAACAATGGCTACTAGTCATTCTTCTGGACATAGAAGGCACTGTAGGCCTTTAGTCCTTGGGTAAGATATATTATTGGGGGTTAGGAAGATTTTCAATACTGAACCAATGACTTACAGTTCCTCAAGTTGTGTCCAGCCTTCAAGGGATGGCATTTTCCCACTGAAGTTGTTGCTACTTAGCCGGCTGCAAAAAAGGTGAGAAGTAGTGATAGCTAATTTAGAAAGTTATCCACAAAATATTAATCTAAAGGGTTCAGTGTGCATACAGTTCTTTCAAACTGGTCATACTCTTAAGCTTCCCTGGCAGCGTACCGGTGAGTTTATTAGCACTCAGGACCCTATGAGTATGAACCATTGTAGATAAACATCTATCAGTTAAATATAGCAACTACAAGCAGGAGATGTTGTAATAAACATACATAACAAAGAAGGCCTTACAAAGTTGTTAAACTTGTTAGTTTTCCAAGTGCAGGAGGAACAGGTCCGGAGAACATGTTGTTCTCCAGACGCCTGGTATTCATTATCCATCAGACACCAACCAACTTGAATTTAATAACTTACTTAAAGTATTATTATAAAAAATAAGAGAGAGAGAGAGAGAGAGCAAGAGCATACACATCTCGAAGTGAGGTTATGCTACCCAAAAATGTTGGAATACTTCCTGACAAGCGATTAGCCGTAACAGACCTTCATTGCAGTTACTTTTGAACTTAGAAGCTGAGATTTAGATAACAACTGAACATAGACAAAGATAGAGATTCGGAAGTAGCTCACAAGTTCTCCAGCTTAGTTGACGCCCATTCCAGGGGTATGGTGCCATTCAGGTAATTAAAAGATAAGTCACTGCAAGAAGCAACCAATGTCATCATGATGACCTGAAGCATGGTATCCAGACCAGTTTTTCAAACTCAGATTGTAGCACAAAACATAAGACTGTCTTACATAAACTTGATGGAAGGTAATTTTGCCAGGGATGGTGGAAGAAAACCTGCAAGATCCTGCCCCTTGACAGATCTGTTCAGAAGGCAATATTTAACCTCAATTTTTTAGCAGTGAGAAGAAATTATGTTTAAGCATCTCTTAATATAACTTTGAAATTTTAGAAGCTTGAGTCCTCCAGTTCCAATAAAGGTTCGCTATTTTAAGGTCAAATAGACTGATTTTCAGATTCAAACAACAATACCAATTTGTAATACTTTATCATAAACTTCAACATAACAGTTATGACATGAAAAATCCAATTACATCGTTTTGGAACCATTATTAGTCGAAAGGAAGCAGAATGGCATATGCAGAAGATTTAATAAAGAAACAATACACCATACATGGAAACAATGTGACAAGCATCATCAAGGTCAGAGCAAGTACAAAGAACGCTGTTCTCAAACTGAGGCACACGACCTTCCAAAGGTGTTACCCAATTGGGATTTCTATCACATGGGTTCAAGCTAAAGTCCCAGTCCTTTTTTTGCAATTCTTTAGCTATATCACGAAGAGCATTCACTGCAAGGTAACATCAAATACATGTCAATGAACTCCAAAAAAGTCAAGTAGGCCTCAAATATGGCAACCAATGTGTATGGCTTCTTAGTGTTGAGAATATAGGTAGAAAAGTTCTTGGCTCGTCCCTTTAATTATTAAAATGAGAAATGAAAACCAAGATCGACATATTATCGAGCTGAGTTTTTATTCACACTTAGAATTTCGAAAAAGAAGAATAGACAATGCAAACTTGCCTTCATCCGGAGGAAGATTTCGAGCTTGTGCTTGAATACCAGTTACTAAAAAGAAAAGAAAGGTAGACACGATGAGCATGAAAATTAACAAAAGTCTCGAGCTTGGATCGAACATCATGGATGATGTAAACTGATGTAATTACGAAAAAGATCAAGCAATTGTTATAATGCCTATAAACACTTAAACACACTGTAAGTAAACTTTGCATATAGCGTTCATTGTGACATAAAGTCGAACACGTCGTCTGCATTATTATCAAAAAAGGAACCATGCAATACGCCAAACATAAGGATACGAATAATTCTGGACCCATTGTCACTGTTTTGTATAGTGTTTCCATAAAAGCAACGAGTCAAAAGTCAAGTGAACCATAAATCAATCAAGAAATTAATCTTGCAACCACAAGGTCTACGTACGCATTAAAGTCACCGTGGATATTGTCGGTTGGCCGGGTCATGAAATAAAATAATGATATTGTTCCCGAATCATATATTTGTGTTTGGTACAGGTCGGGACAAAACTTATTGTTCCATATTTGAGCCATAGTGGGACAGGACAGAAACTTAACGACAAGAACTAGGATAAGGTTTGTGGAACAAAATGGAACAAGAATAAGAAAAAAAAACTAAAATATTACTAATTAATTCTTGTTTGATATATAAACTTAACATGGTATGTGTTTTAGTGATCACCACCACTAGTCCAATAATATCTGCATACCAAACGGTACCTTTCGAAACTTTTTTTAAAAATAAAAGGGAAAGGAGGAAAAGGACGGTAGAGTAAAAAAAATTCGTGATTTTGAAACTTTTGCAAGGAGAGAAAGGAAATAAAATAGTGATAAGTTTGTTTCAAAACTTTTCTTCCAAATATAAAAGGAAATGGAAGGGAAGGGAGGAAAAAAAGAAAGAAATTAAAACACTTAATTAGGGCTCGTTTACCAAACGCTTATTCGGGTAAGTGAACACCAAGTCACATTATCTTACCGAATGAATATGGTAAGGACCAAGAATCTTACCCGGTAAGAACGAGACAAGGACCAAGAGTCTTACCGGCGATGACTCTTACCATGGTAAGCGCTTACCGGGTAAATTGTTGCATATGATACCATTTTGGTGGACTAAAATCTAACCCGGTAAGTCAATGATAGTGTTAAATTTTGTCGGTAAGCACTTACCGAGTAAGTGTTTGGTAAACGACCCCTTAAAGAATTATAGAAATTACAAAATTAATCGATAAAGATATATTTTTAGAGGGTATATAAGTAAAAATGATATTTTTCCCTTCCTTTCTCTTCTCCTCAAGAACACGACAAATTATTTTATTTCTTTTTCTTTCCTTCCTTTTTCTTCTCATTCAATAATATAAACAAAAAAGTTATTTTTTCTTTTCCTTTCTTTATTCAATTTATTTTAAAATATGAGATAAATGTTTATAATATAATAAAATATTAGAGTTAACAATATCAGTGATTGAAAATTTTAAAAACTCAGCTAAAAGACTTGAAAACGATCGATATTAGTATCGAATTGAAAAGGATAAAATATTCGTGTTTACTTGAAAAATCAATTATATTTAGTATAATTTAGATTCTTTTTTATAATAAGGTAAATTTGATGTAATATGAAAAAAAGGATAAAACCTGTGTTTCCAATAAGTTTTGAAGTTTACATTTTTATCGTTTACAAAATGGACAAAAACATAAGAAAGAATATATTATATAGTTTGAAAGATTTTGCATGCATTATTGGTTTATATTTGATATTTAAGTTTTTAACAGTTATATTTTCGAAAAAATTAATAGTTAGGACATGAATATTTTATAAAACAGTATGTATAGATAAATTAATAATATACTTTTATGTGATTAAGACGAAACTTGGGGACATAAAATTGAAGTCCAAGAGATTTCTATCCATTTTTATTACGTCTAGATCGATCTCATTCTCCACCCTTGTATATGTTCTAATACTCATTTTTTCTTTTTAAAATCGGTGAACCTATTTTTTTTTTTACAGTAGTTTCCTGCTCTCCAAGCTAGCTTAATTATACTTTAATGGATCTAAAAAAACTTAAACTGCCGATCTTTAGGAAACAAACACCGCTTGATTTAAGTTCTGCTATATAATTGATATATTATAAAACTATTTAATTATTCTTAGGTTTAATCGTATCTCCAACAGCTATGTTGAAATATAAATTTTGGAGATTTTGAGTATATTTTTACTCCAACACCTATGTTATATTCATATGGTAAAATAGAGATGGTAAAAATCTTCAAATTTAGAGAAATCTCTAAAACTCCATATTTAAGAGAGAGAAATAATATTTAATTTTTTCTCAACCATATGAGACATTGAAATTAAAGTTAAAAAAGACAAATAATATTTNAAATAATATTTAATTTTTTCTCAACCATATGAGACATTGAAATTAAAGTTAAAAAAGACAAATAATATTTTATTAAATGTATTGAATATTTTAATAATATAGTTAACGATCCAATTACTAAAATAGAATAGTTGTTGTCCTTTTGAATTAAATATGATTCTGGTAGGGTTGGCTTGCAAAATCTTCCTAATAGCTTACGAAATGACCCATCATAGTCATATTTTATTGATAAAAATACATTTCATAACTGATAAAATGGGTATTTATGAAATATCGGCTATTTTGATTAAAATATAAAATTTTCGTTCAAAATAGCTAGTTGTCAATTTCCTTTTAAAACATCTTGTTAAATAGAATAAAAATACAAGATATTTATAGGGGTATTCTAACCCCACCCCCTCCTACCCCAAAATTCCCACCCCCTCCTACACATAAAGACAAAAAACAACAAAAAGACAAAAGTTAAATATTTTCATTTTTAATCTTTTAATATTTTAACTTTTAACCCTAACTTTTTTATATTTTAACTTTTAACCCTTTACTTTTTTAACATGTTTTATATTATTATTAATTAATAAAATATTAATAATACATATTTCAAATATAAATTAAATTTATTAATTAAAACTTTGATTTTTCATGTTAAATCAACATATTCACKAGTAWGARTACGYTCTATATATTYTTCATATGCACTGAATCTATGTTGATACGGGACAATCCATGTACTTGCATCTTCAAAACGATAACGAGTCCAATGGTGCGTAAGTGTGGGCATTGGATATTCTCCATTTAATACCACCTTTATGTAATGGTTACCATCAACATGCACTATTGCAATTGCCACGTGTTGAGATGACGACAGAGGTTGTGTCCTAAACGGTAAGTATGTCACACTGCCTGCCATATTGAGAACATGTAGTATGACATTGAACCTTGAAGCCGTTAGAATGCCCATTTCAGGCATAACAATCCAATGCGCAACTGGTGCAAAGAYGCCCTTTTGGAAAAAATTTAGTGCTTCGTGAATGCGTAAGCACTCATCGCCAATCACATAAGAGTAATATTGTTCATACTCAGTTAGTTCAATCATTAACTCTTTACGGATATTGTCCCATTCGTCTTCATGACCACCTAGACTAGTAGATATCGCTCGAAATCCACAATTTCCATCGCCTTTAACGTCTTGTATTTGTATGATGTATGGATGAAATAAACTCGGGATTTGATCAAGATACGGATGTCGGGTGGTGGGTTGTCGTTGGAAATAGGAACTATGYCTCGTTGATTCTTGATGCCGCAAATCTTCAGAGTTAATAATTGATGGCACGTTAGAACAACTACGTCTACGGTCTTCAATAATTCTTTTATTCAAAGTTTGACTCTTTGTAGATGGACGGCCACTAGTTTGGAAAGACCGTTCGTTTTCAGTGTAAATCATATCAAGTGCATAAAATGAAACAAATCCCCACAAAATTTGAAAGTGCGACTCGTGAATCGATGGTCTACAATGTTTCAAAATATTTTGAAAGATGTGCCATCTACAGAGTAACTGTTTAGCACCCGAAAATACCACTCTACATGCTTTAATCAATGCCAACTYTCTGTCTGTGACTATGACAGCTGGGTAAAAGTTATCGCATATTTTKGACTTTARACAATCTAACGCCCAAGTATAATTTGATATCTTTTCTTGATGCATGAAAACAAATGCTATGCAAAATGTCAAGTTGGTCGATGTTACACCAACTATCTCAAGAAGAGGCATGTCGTACCTGAATAATAACACAACCAACTGAACGCCCCACATTGTGCACCCACTCGGTTATTTCTTCCCGAGAATTGAACATCTGGAAAAAAAATTATAACTTTCATTTGTACAAGTAAGTATTAATAAATCTAAATATCAATTAACATAATATTGTACATCGTTGGTGAAAAATTCTGGTGTTGTTATCAAATCTTCTCCCATACTTGATGTATATTGAAGAATGAGAGAGTGAAATCGAATGAACGATTAATTCTATAAGAGAGTGAAATCGAATGAATGATTAATTCTATAAGAGAGTGAAATCGAAGAGAGTGAAATCGAAGAGAGTGAAATCGTTCGATATATATATAT